TCACATATACAACCCATAGTAATAAGGCGAGGGTCACGATTTAGCATATCATAACATAAATTCAACATCAATCACCGAAGTTCACGTATATATCAAACGAAACCGAACAAACCTATCATGATATAAACGAGACCCTCAACCTAATACACCATTCTCTTCATAACACAAGATTTAATAGGAATTTCTAGCTTTTTAACCAAATCACATAAACATGTTAGAGCATCAATAAAACACATACCCTTATCTCTTACCCAACTAACCATGCTTTGAGCTAACATGAACTCACTCTTACTAAGACGCAAGAGACATTAAACATATAATATTAGAGGTTGAACAGAGGCCATAAACATCCATAATACTGGCAGCCTATAAAACAACGACTCATCTCATAATTTTCGAAACATGGCAAAGGTCAGAGGAGGGCGAATACATTCCCGGTTCTTATTGACTAGGTTCTCACTTGGAGACATTGAATAGAATTATATACCAAGAGAAACTGCTATGGGCATAACTTATCTCGATAACACATACTGAAACTCACAACGAGGAACCTCTAGAGTCCGAACTTAACTCTATATCACTAGAGTTCAACATTCAACACTGAGTTCACATTAAACCAAAGGTGGATAGATTTTCTAAGCCCCAAATAACAATATGATATATATATCTATATATCAATAAGTCATATCATAAGCAGTTTCATTGCTACTTATTTAAAAATATGAAATTCACATTTCACATTATAAGTATTTTCATCGATACTTATATAAAACATACCTTTAAGCAGTGCGGCATGACAAAGACGAGTGTTCAATACACAAGGTCTAAATCAAATAAACAAGTTGTTCACACATAAACCAGTCTATAGAAATGCAGAATGGCTCTGATACCAAACTGTAATGCCCCACTTTATCTTAAAAGATTTATCGAATTATTTAATAAAAATCAGAGTAAATTTTTCGCCATTCTCAAACTTAATTTAAACTCAGTGGGCGCTACATAACTACCAAGAACTATTAAACGAAAATACAATCACATCAGATAAAATCAGCACATGTATGACTAATAGTTATAAGACTTTACTAGCATTCAATAAGTTCCAAAACCATGAAATCAAAACATAATCCAAGGTTCCACACTGACATAACTTAATTATCCAGATCAAAGCAGGAAAATAAAACCAAGTCATATAACAGTCATAGATGTACGGAAGCATAATAATAATAATCATAAATGAGCAAGACCACCCACTCGCCTTGCCTCGTCACCTGCCAACTGCTTAACCTGCATCCGTGAAGAGCAGGTGGGAGTGAGTACAATTGGAAAATATTGTACTCACACTATGCATATGAACAACATCAGAATATGTTAGAATGATATGGTCGCAGCATGAACATAAACAATAATGTCATCATGTCTCATCTCTAGTCACATCAATGACTCTAGTCTCATCAAATACTCACTCATGTGCACATCCACGCTCATCAAAGCTTAGCCATGCCACATCAATGACGTAGGAGTGCGTGCCACATCAATGACACTCTCTTCTCATAGGTCTTAAGGAGATTAACCTCGTAAGGGTAACCGTATTACATCGACGGGGACAACTGTACTGATGGCCACCAATCTCACATCTCGATAGGCTACATGCTCACATGCATACATAGATCATACCGGTTTTAACACATATACAACACATATGCATAGATATTTTAGAATAACTAACCCACCTGGATTTCCGGATTGATAAGAGAAAAAATAGAAGGTACGTAGGTCGAGCCTTGACTCCTCAAACACCTACATTAAGTCAGGATTCTATAATCAACATCTATCTTTACTTAAACGGAAAACACAAATCATACTTAGTCGAACTTGATTCGACTAAGTTGTTCGTGAAGTCCTGTGGACATTGGAACACTTAGACTCGGCTCTAAGACTCAACCAAACACGCATGGGAGTTCACATAATCTCAATCAAAGATTTACTAAGTCAAACAAACAAAGAATAGCATGCGAGTCGGTTTACGATTTTTAACACAAAAACTATATTTTTGAAATAAAAGCTGATAAATCACATAATCAAGTTGGTCAGGTTACCGAATGAGTTAGACCCTGAAATTTTAACCAAAAATCCACCTCACTGGACTTAACAAAACCACCATACATCAGCCCTTAACTCAAAACACATGATTTTATAAAATTCGAACAAATTTTCAGCAAAAATGAGCACAAATTTAAAACCTGACATAACGAACAAATCAACCTCTGAATTTTTACACGACAAACCATACCATATGCATATCAAAATATAAAAATTTCAGCCTTAAACATTTTACATGCGAATTTTAAAAATTCTAACAAAAATCTGCAGCTTCTAAATTTTCATCAAAATTGGATAAATATTGCTCCACAAATTCCAATATTTTTACAGAACCAGACGCATCACAAAATAAGCACTTCAACCAAAAATCAGAATTTTACAGCAATAGATCAAATTATAATTAAAACAATTTTTGGCAGAATAACACAATAAATTATTTACCCAAGCAAACTAAGTTCTAAAATTCGGAAAATTTTACAAAACATGTAAATATGCCAGAGACACAACATACTCAAATTTCAACAAATTTAGAGTACTAATCATTTATTATGTAATTAACACGGTTCTTCCAAGAAATTACATTAATTAATTAAAATAGCTACAGGTAGTATTTTAATCTGAAACTTTTACATGACATACATAATCCACAGAGGACATGCCACACAAAATTTCACATTAATCGGATCAGTGTACATTTAATCACGAATTTAATACCAAATTAGCAATTATACGATATCATAAATTCACATACGACTCGATAAGACTTGAAATTGTCCGAGGCCTTCACTATAAGGCCAATGACTCACTATGTTCCAATTTCCACAACAACTTAACACCTTTAACGTGATTCCGTTCGGTTTCTCAAAATCGACAAGATCAATTCATAATTTAGTTACAACAATGGCTCACCTCTCGGGCTTGATTTACGTTCGACTCTCGGCTCAACTTAGCCATATAATATTAATTCGGTTCGGCTCGACAACTAAATTATAAACCGGATATTATTTATATATATAATACACACAATTTATTTAATTAATAATAATAACATTTAGACATTTAGAGACAATTAGGCATTTAATAATAATATTAATAATAATAATAATAGCAAACAATAAATAAAATAATAATAATAATAATAATAAATAATCCCAAAATTTTTGATAAATAAACGGGGCGCTACAATTATCTTCGCTTGTCGGTCGCATAGTTTATCACATAATTATTTCGCACTTTATCAATTAGTTCTCTTGTCTGTCGCGTAGTTATAGCATAATGATGTTGCACTAGCTCGATTATCTGCTCCTTTCTATCGCATAATTATTTTGCACTTTATCAATTAACTTCGTTTTATGTTACGTAGTTTATCACATAATGACATCGCACTAGCTCGATTATCTTCGCATGTTTGTCGTGTAATCGCATAATGAGACCTCACTTGCTCGATCATCTTCATGTGTCTGTCGCATAGTGGATCACATAAGTAATTCATACTTGCTCAATTAACTTCGTCTGTTGTTGCATACTTTATCACATAATTTGTTTCGCATTTTCTTAATGAACTTCGTTTGCCTGACGTATAGTTGATCATACAAGTAATTCACACTTGTTCAATTAACTTCGTCTGTCTTTCACATAGTTTATCGCATAATATTCTCGCACTTTATCAATTATGTTCGCATGTATGTCACATAGTTTATCTCATAATATTATTGAATTTATCAATTAACTTTGCTTGTCTGTCTATCGCATAGGTTATCACACAGTTTATCGCGTAACTATTTTGCACTTTATCAATTATCTTCGCATGTCTGTCTCACAGCTTTTTGCATCAACTATCGTCGCATATTTGTCGTACAGTTTATCGCATAACTATTTCTCATTTTATCAATTATCTTGGCATGTCTGTCGCATAGTTTTTCGTATAAGTATTTTGCACTTTGTCAATTATTTTCGCATGTCTGTGGCATAGCTTTTCACATCAATTATCTTCATCTATCTGTCGCATAGTTGTTTTGGATTGATTATGTTCGTATGTTGGCACTTTACCAGTTATCTTTGGTCTGTCACACAGTTGCGTAATTGTTTCGCACTTTATCTATTATTTTTGGCAGTTTTGCTATGAAGCCATCGGATGACTCGACACATGTCCTGCAATAACATTTTTGTAAATCAATTTACTTTGTAAATCAATAATGTAAATCAATACATTAAGTGATGGATGACTCCATAGAATTTTTGTAAATCAATTTTGCTATGGAGCCATCAGATGACTTGACTTATTAAGTCATCCATACTAATTCTCCAATAGTGTATTTGACACGTTTCCTGCAATAAATATACTTTGAAAAGGTGTCAATGGATTAAGTGGTAAATGGCTACATAAGAAAATTATCCGATGGCTCCATAGATTTTTTGTGGTGTCAATACATTAAGCGATAGATTACTCCATAAAGAAAGTTTTGTCCAAATAAAGTACAACAGTTTTTCAAAGTTGAGGTTCATCCCACAATTTCGTTCCGCTGTATCCGCGAAATCACCTAGTGAAAATACTCTACTCTTGTATTTGAATCTTTTTTTTCACTGTCATATTCTTTTCAGCACCAGAAAAATTAAAAATTGAAAATTCTCCGCATAAGGCTGTACAAAAACTGGTCATGAGAACAAGGCCAAGACCTAAGAGTGAAGACCATCAATGAATGGTTCATTCGATGCCACCCACACGGGTGACACTCATCAATGGATCCATCATTCGGAAACCTTTTTTTTTTTTTTTAACTTCNGCTACCACAAACCTTACACGCACACTCACAAAAAAAGGGAGATTTTTTTTTTTTCCTAATTTTAAGGAAAAGATTAAAGTAACTTAAAATATTCATAAGCATATATCCCATCAATCCCTAAGCCCACAAAGCCAGTGAAGACATCAACACCGCCCCTAGAAACAGAACAAAATAAGACACCACCTGCAGCCTAACATTGCAGCTCATCCTCTTGCTCAAGAAATCGGCTGCGATCAGGTCCACCAATGCCATGTACACCAAAATCCCAGCAGATATTGAGTCCAAAACACCCTCCACCACCAAAGCCCGCGGGCTGTTTGCATTATAAAACGATGAGATTCCAATCCCGACTGCTATCCCAAGCGGGGTCGTCACTGCAAAAAAGCAGGCCATGAGTGTCGAGTGGAGCCCACGAAACCTGGCTTGAGAGATGCACCCTCCCAAAGCAAAGCCTTCAAAGAACTGGTGGAAAGATAAGGCCCCAATTAAGGGTCTGATCGTGCACGGGCTGCGTGAGACCCCGAGAGACAGTCCAATGATCACCGAGTGTGAAACAATCCCGAGCTCGAGAACCTTTAATAAAACATAAACAGGATGATTTATATATATCTTGTGTTCAAGAAAATGAGAAAAAAAAAAATAAAGAGAGAAACATTCCTTACATCATTTAAATACAGGAGCACAGAAGTGATTATTATTACTCTATTTGAGTTGTTGTTATGAAGCACATCGCAAGAAAATAGATTATGAGATCAAAATACTCTGCTTCCAAATTAGTGATATAACAAATACCAACTATATAAAACCTTCTCAAGAGATTTGGATCAAGAGAACAAGTTCAGATTCATTTGTCCCAGTCAAATATTTTATCCTTGAGCCATCTATCAACAGTTAAAAATTTTAAGTACATGGTTGTTGTCCATAATTATGAAACCAAAAAATCAATGCCCAGTTTAGCACCACAACATTAATCCAGTATGAGCAACATCAACCACTTGATAACAATTTTCACTACACCCATCGGAGTATGTAAAAACCATCCCAAAAAAGCTTTTGTAGGTATATTAACGTCAATCATCATATCCAATATGCGTACTATGCACGTGACACGGAGCAAATTCACCACGACACTTCCACAAAATATGATAATAGGTATATC